CAGTGATGTACAGGGTCAAAGAACTGGAATATAACACTCATCATGTATTCGTCAAAACCTGGGGTAACCAGACTGAGTAGTCGACTATGCCTTTTTATGAATGGAGAAATTTAGGGAACCCTTGAGACTAACTCCTTAAGCTGAGGAGGTACCCTTACAAAGTTGATCCAGATAGTGTTTTGGCGAGCGGATGCCATAACCTACAACAAAGAACAAAGATAAATCCCTTGATCCTTAAAATGGTTAGTGAAAATGATATGGTATGATGTCATGATGTTGTGATGTTGTGATGTCATGTTCGAACAATTAATCAAACACAAACAAAATACACAAGGTCTTAGGTTTAAGCTTGCATGAAGTTGGTGGGTAAGTACCCTCTTGAAGTTTTAGTTGGCTCAACCTGTCCTAAAAGAAGTAATCGTGTTCTAGGAGCCTCAATATCCCAAATCTTTCTCCCTAAGCATTGTTTCAGCACAAGCATCTGATTTGCGACTGAAATATCCCGAGAGTCTGATCTTAATGAGTGTAGCATCGAGTATCAACCAACTTCAGTCTACACCAAAGCCAACTATCTCACTACTTTCTAATGGCTATGTTGTGTCAACTAAGATTCTACGGTTAGTTAGTGCTTTATGACACCATGTGGCAGCCCAACATTCTCCTTGACTTAACTCAAGGGACACCGACACCAACCAATGTGTCACACTAACATAGCCATTGCTTCAACCGTATTGGTATACACCATACAGTTTTCACAATTTATTACTACTTACCTAAAATGCCCCCAGATCCAGGTATAAGATCTATACAAGAAATAAACCCAAGCATATCCCGAAATATAAAGCATACAAGGAAAACAAGTAAAGAAATAAAGGTGATCTAGCTCTAAAGGTAACCCCACTTTAAGTTTTCCCCAGCAGAGTCACCAATTCTGTAATACGGTGGGAGAACTGACTTTTAGGTTTTACGTTTTATCGCAAGTGTTGCGGATAGCAAGAGTCGCCACCGACTTTTCTTTTATCCAATAAAGGAAATAGTGAAAAGAACAGGAAAGACCTTTTGAAAATTTTCTGAGTAAAGGGGTAGGTTATGAAAAGGGAAGGTGTTAGAACCCTTTTCATCTGTAGTTATCTACGGGCTCTTAATCACTAGCTCGCTTTTGAAAATGCTTTGTGAATGTGTAAGTTTTTTTGATAATATTTTTTAAAAAAGGCCTAAGTGCGGCAAACTTCGTAATGATTCATGTATCGTTGAGAACGCATACAAAGTGTTTATTTTTGAAAATATTTCAGAAGAGAAGTGTATTGTGTGAAAAATGTTTTGAAATGTTCGCGAGCAAGCGATTAAGAACTATCTACCTACTCAAAAGTCTTTTGTTCTTTTCCTCTTCCTTTAGATAATGTTGTCCTACCATTGGTTAATAAGAATCCCTATCGTTGGATGTTAAGGACAAGCGCAAGTTATCGTACAGTCATAGAAGGCAACTCATAGGATGCTTTAGTAATTTTTGTAAGGTAGTAAGATCGTTTACCGAAGGCAACATCGAAGGTTCATCGAGGGACTACGATCATTTAACCGAGGGTCTTTGCTAAAGCGTCTCACGTTCGAGGGACATGATTGTTTTCCGAATGCAACAAGTGAGGTTACCCTAGAGGTAAGTGTGTGAAAAGTGATTTGTTTTCAGTTAATTTGTCTTGATTATGGTTATCTAACGGTTGATTTTAAATCTTGTCATACACGCCTAATTACTATACAGTAATAAGTAAAAGCGGTAAAGTGAGGAAAATAAAGTTTTACGCTATTACAAGACTTCGGGAATGGGGTACAAATAGTAAAAATGGGGGAAAAGTAAAAGTCTAATTAAACTATTACAAACCATAAGTAGTTACAATAATAAAAAATGCGAAAATAGTAAACTACGCGAAAATAAAAGAAAAAGGAAATTGTTTTATGATTTTATCAAGGAAATTAAATCAAATAAAAGCTATGAACGAAGATTCAAAAATTAAAATTCTAAATACTATTTTTTGGTATTTTTCGAATGTGAGAAAATTTGAAAAGAAAATAAAAACCTATTCTATTATTTTTATGTTTTTATCAAAGAAAGTAAAATTAAAAGAAGAACAAATAATAATAATAATAATAATAATAATAATAATAATAATAATAATAATAATAATAATAATAATAATAATAAAAATAATAATAACAATAAAAAAGAAATAAAAGAAACAGAGGGGGGTGCGAGATATAGTTGGGTGTGTGATAAGCATAAACGAAATGGGTTGATTTTGAAGAATTTCGTTGGGCCTAGAAATTGGGGTGATACCCAAAGCTAAGTTTTCAAAAAAGAACATAAAATAGAAATAAGGATGGTGTCAAGTTGAGATCACGGGGTGTTGTAAAAAAGAAGGCATGGGCGTTATGCCCAAAAGCAAGGCCCAATAGAGGTTTTTGTCTAAGCTTCCAAGTATGCTAAAAAAAATAGTGCAATGGACTTGTAGGGGTACAATTCAAAATTAGTGGCCCATGAGGGCAAAAAAAAACTTGAGAAAAAAAAATAGGGTTGGGCTTGGATCGAGTCGCAGCTGACTCGAATCCATCTCCCTCTAATACCGAAACCGGTTCTGAAATCCTAAACATTCATCTAGCCCCTTTCTAATTTCACGAAGAAGAAAAGCTTCTCTTAATCCTCTTCTCCATCAAACTTATGTTTCTTCTGTAAACACAACCGTTCAAAACAGAACAAAAGAAACAACATAAAACTCCCAGCCTCTCTATTATGATTCCAACTTCTATGCTCCTCTACACTCACGATTTCACCACACAATAATCAAACAACAACAAAAAATAGAGCATATTACAAGGTACAATGAAGAAATCAAAAGTGAAATGAAGCTAAATCAAAAACAAGAAAATCAAGTACATAGTCTTTCGCATTTCTTCTTCTTTCTCTACATTTGTCCGCTATTGTTGTGTTTGTTATTGTCTATGCGAGAACATTTTTTCTTCGAATCTTCTTCTTGTTCTATCAGTTATACTCAATGGAACAACAACAACATATAACATTTCTCACAACCAAATATATATTAAAGAAAATTATAAAGATGGAGATACTACAGTACCTACTGAGTCCGAAAATAGCAAAGAATATGGAGAATCCAAAGTTCCAGTTGCAAGCGGTTGTAGAGTTATCCACTGAGGCAGAGTGAAACTCGACTACTCCTGATGATCTGTTATGCTACACTTTTCTATCTTTTCTGACTGTTCCCGATTGCAGCGGTTGGAGACTTTATTAGGAATCATTTTGTATCTTTTTTCTCTCTTTTCTGCCTCTTGTTGTCCTCCACAAATCTATGTGTGAATACTCGCTTTTATAGTGAATCAAGACTATGTTTTTGGGGGGAGATGGGATAGCTTTTGAACTAATTTGATGCACTGCTTCAATAATTTTTTATTGTAGTTTTTGTATTTCCATTTTGGTGTAAATTTGACAAGTTTTGGACTGTTGTATGCAGGGATGGCTTTGGACTGGTATGCAGGTATGTACAGGGGCAACAAGACTGTTTTGGTTGGTAACTAGTTTGGCTGAATTTTTGCAGGTTTTAGAGCATGCGGACAACAATGCTTTTGTTTATTTTGTGCAAGGTTTGGAGAAGGAAAAGCAAGGGGCAGCAGGCTGTTTTGGGCTGCAAGGTAATGTTCTGCTTGTTTGACATCGATTTGGACAAAGGAGGTCTTTGGACAAAGTTGGTAGCTACAAAATAGGCATAGCAATACATGAAGAGCCAAGTTTGGCATAGGTTTAGGTTTTAAAAGACTTATGTAATTTTTTTTGTAACTTGTAATTTTTTGAATAAATGTGAATGAAAACTCCTTAACTTTGAATATACATCTCTTTCCTTTTATTCTTGATATTCAAAATTAAAGTTGTAATGGTGGATTATCTTGATGGTTTTTTTTGAAGAACTTGAATTCATGATGAATATGCCTTGCAATTTAAATTGGGGCCATGCCTTGTAAAAGCCTTGTAACTTGTGACTTAGCTTATTTGAATCTCAAAAAAAAATTGAACACATTTAGAAGTTTGAATGAATACTCCTAAACATTGAATTCAACTCAATTCCCACTTCTCAAATAAGCCTTAATTCAATCAGTAAACCAAGTTACTCATATTGAAAGCACAAACACAAGTTTTGATCACCACTTCACTTTTTGTGCCATGATTTGATAATCAACATCATAATATTGCCTTGTAGAAACCTTGAAAACTACATATGGAAATATGTAAGACCAAGAGAACTTTGTCATGAAGATCGAATGAGTCTCCATCAGTGAATATTGACAATTCAAACTTCATGGGGAAGAAACCCTAATTCCCCTTGAGATGCGCCTTGACATCAAAACCCTAAACCAATTTATTGAGATGTATCTCAATTCATGAACCACAAAGGAAAATTTCATCCCTGAATTCAAGCCTTTGAAAATAAATCCAAGATGTGATGATGACATGACTTTGTAATGCAAGAAAACTCAGCTGAAAACCTTAGTCTCTGACCTTGATAGGTGCAAATAATTAGTGTAAGATCTCAAGTTAACTCAAACCCCACTTATGAAGAAAGGGTCCCCTGATGATAGAGTGACAAGACCTTAAAATAGTCTCAGTCGAAACATCTTTGGTGAAACCCTCAAAACCCTAACTTCAAAATCCAATTCTCAGAAGAAACAAAGAAACAACCTTTATTTAATAAAGAAACCCAGAACAAAGTGAAACCCTAATTCGTACCAAACACTGCTTCTTGATATCATGCCTTATTGAATGAATGGATTTTATGCAAATGACCTAGTGAAAATGATGTGTATAAAATGCAAAGCCTAAACTAGATAAAAGTAGAATTAGGAGGGAAAATTTTGGGGTACAAAAACTTGCTAAGCATGGATACTCGTAGAAAAGGAAGGAAAAAAACAAACCATGATAGGCTACTAATTTCTTCTTCTCTTTATGAGACAATGGCGTTCTTCTTTTTTGGACCAACAATGATCATTTCAAATGCATCAGATATATCATCTTTGCTTATTTCCTTGAGGTCACCCCTGGCTGTAAGAATAACTGCTTCATCCATCATATTATTAAAAAATTTATAAGTTGTTTTGATAAAAAATTTAAACAATATCAAAAAATTTAGTCATGAAATAATCTCAAATAAGTCCATCCAAATATACATTTAGCTCTACAGTAAAGGACTAAAGCTCAATCAAGTCATTCCTGGTTAAATGCTTTTGAAAGCTGCATTTTTCTAGGCATGATTGCACAACAGCAAAAAACTTATATGATGGTAAGTTCAACATTCAAAGCTCTCATTTACCTTATTAGTCAAACCAATCTTCAGTACAAAATTCAAAATTCTGCAAGAGCCTCAGAACCTGAATGATAAAAAACATTCAGATCCAATTGAATACTGTCAATTTGATGCCTCTGCACAAACCTCCAATCCTGCAGGAGACAAGTTAAGAAATGTAAGAATTTTTGAAATGTTTTATATCCATGTGGAGACAATTAAAAAAATATATCCAACATATAATCCATCATACCTAGATGTCGAAACCATGTTCCATTTGTGTCAAGTTTATATGTGATTTCCTACCATGTTCATAAAACCTACCATGTCTCACTCCTGCAATTTCATTTACTCAACCAAAAAAGGCAGGCCAAATCAGATGCCAAAATTCATTTGTGTGACAGTTTTATGAAATGAAGGCATGTTGCAATCTACAAAACAGTTTATTATTGACAACAGATTTGTAACATCCAGAGGACCACATGAATTGGCCACATTTCCATAAATATAACGGCAACGAAAATGGCAACGACTCACGAATCACAACAACATAAACTACACAATGGTCAATACTCAATTTTCACACTCCCAATCACAGCAGGTACGCAACTGCTAGGTTATTTTTTTGTTGTTTCGTAACATTTGCAGGATGGTAACAATGTATCAATTGGATCTTGAGACTGTGGCTTACCCTGTCATAATTTAAAATCAAACTTCACCATTCATCTTCTCAAAATATAACTCTTTAAAAAACTCACAAACATCAATCAAAATCATCCATTCCAATTCCACCATAATTAGCATAAAATGAATCGATATAGTGAAATAATTATCGCAATAGTCATGATGCAAACCTACGAACCTCATTTTTAATCCAAACATAACCAATTCACATGTACTAACATCAACAATCACATGAACCTTCATAATTACTCACCGTAACTGAAATTATATAAAACAAAAGCATTCATGAATAATGCAAGGCATCATGAGCAAACATTATCATGTTAAATGGAAAGCAGCCCACAAAGCTAAATACATTAGATGTTATGATACATACACATAAACCTACAAAGTCAGCCTCATGTTCATCTAAAAAACACCATCTCATGCCCATTCTTTTCACCATACCAGAATCCAACCATCCTGCTCAACCACCAAGCCAACATCATGTACCTGCATAACATAAAAATTTTCATATTCAAAACCTGCATAAAATAGGTGCATCAATGTTACCATGCCACGATGAACTTGCAAGCCTACATTATCATTGTTTACACGCTACTGTACTAAACTTGCTTGCATCAGGGACATACATGATGCCATCAACATCCATGCTATTCGTACCAATATCTTATTCTTTTTTACTGCAGATAAAAGGAGAATTTACCATCCACTATATCTGCCGCCTCAATCCTCTTATTTTCACTATCTATTCTGCTATTATTCAAGTACATACCTCCTTATTTTAACAACCGGTACACAGTAAGAATTTTCAAAAACCTATTAACATCAGCATCTAGAATAGAGAAAAAATACTCATAAAACTTATACTGAGATAACAAAGACGAAGACAACCAAATTGCACCGTCCTCGGATTTACCGAATTTCGTACCATCACTTTCAACAAAAGAGGAAATGTAAAACAATAGGTACCAATAGCACCTTCTATCTGCAATATCTTCCTTATCAACTCAGTTCTAACAATTATATTGCCCCATTGATCACTACCTCCAATTTGAACATTAACACCCTAAAATCATTGTTGAAGACATCATAGAGAAATATTAATAAAAAAAAATCAAAACTCTAAAATCAAAAATCATAAGAAAAAAAATCTAAAAATCAAAAGCTATGTTAAAACAGAGAAATCCACAACATAGACTCTCTCCTTCGATGGTGAGGACGAGGGTGATGATGAATCATAATCTTGGAAAAAATCATAACTCAGAAACTTCAAAAATCAAAGAATACAATAAGAAATATTTTATGAACCAAATCTGTTATGAATACAAGATAAAGAAGACATAAAAGAAAGAATAATAGAAGGGGGGAAAAGACATACCTTTTCCGAGTAACGGAGAAAGGAGAAATGGAGACGAGGGAGAAAGGGGTTGACGACCGATTTGGGTTTTGAGGAGATGAAGGAAGAGAGAAAACGGGTGAGAGAAGAGAGAAAGGGGGGAGATTGTGAATATGGGGAAGGAGAGATAAAGATAAATGTGGGAATGAGAGTGGTATTGTGTAGAAGGAAATGAGAATGATACAATTGCGTTACCGGGTAAAAGAGTGTAGTATGAAGATTTGAAAAACTTAGGTGTCACTTGGATTAAAGGAATAGTTTGATTGGTTATTACAATTAGATCTAGTCAATTACTAAAAAGAATATTTTGTAGTGTAAATTTTGTTTTTCTTAAAGGGTAAGAGTAATAGAAGAAGGAGAAACGAAGACGAGGAAGAAAGGGGATGACAATTGATTTAGGGTTTGAGGAGATGAAGGAAGAGAAAAAGCGGGTGAGAGAAGAGGGAAAGGGAGAGAGATTGTGAATCTGACGAAGGAGAGATAAAGAGAAATGTGAGAATGAGAGAGATATTGTGTTAGAAGGAAATAAGAGTGATATAATTGCTTTACCCGGATAAAAGAGTGTAGCATGAAGATTTGAAAAAATTGGATATCACTTGGATTAAAGGAATAATCTAATTGGCTACTACAATTATATTTAATAAATTACCAAAAAGGATATTTTGTAGTGTAAATTTTGATTTGCTTAAACGATAAGATCGGAAGTGCACAAACATCTTTCAATATTAATTAGGTAGTAGACTATTGACAAAGTTTAGCCGGTATTAGCATGTACTTTTAGCATGGGTATTCTATGCACTCTCGGGAAGCATATGGTTCTAAGTTAACCATAAACTAGGGTCTAAAGCTGAAGCATATATATCATATATGTAATTATGTATAGAGATGACAACGGGTCGGGTCGGGTTTCACATTATCTAAACTCGCACCCGAAATCACCATCTGAACTCGAACTCAAACTCAAAGGTAATTCAGGTAGCAAAATAACACACATGTCCATATTCGTTGGGTTTGAGTTTTTCACTCAAATTCGAATCTGCAACAAAAACACAAAAAATACAAGAACAATATTGAAATTTGAAATACAAGAATTCGATCAAGGTCTCTCAAGAAATTAAAGAATTAAATTACAACTTTCCATCAAATTTGGTAACATTACAATAGTCTTAAATTTTTACACACACACACACACACACATATATATATATATATATATATATATATATATATATATATATATATATATATATATATATATATATATATATATATATATATATATATATATATATATATATATATATATATATATATATATATATATATATTTAGAAGTACTTATGTAATTTAATGTTTAAACGGATGTGGTTTCGAGTGCGGATTTGAATGAACTCAAACTCACATCCGAAATATCAGATGACATCCGAATCTAACTTGAGTTTGGGTGCAGAAGAACTCCACGGATTTGAGTCTGTCTGGTATACCTAATCATGTACTATCTTCTTAATAGCATTAAAAAAAATTTAAATCTGTATTTTGACTTGGCTTTATTTATTGAAAAAAAACATTGCTATATGCTCTATTAAAAAATTAAACACTATACTTTCAAATAAACCATGGAGTTGTGTTGCTGCTACTAATATGATAATCTTTCCCTTCCAATCAAAGTTCAACATTAATGAATTAAATTTTTATGTTTTGTTGATAGATACAAACTGCAGGTAATATGAGTAAGAAAAAATCAAGAAGAAAATTCTCAATTAAAGGCCATGTTTATTATGATAAAATGTGTTGTTTTATTTGGTTATATAATTTGAAAGATAATGTAAAGTGAAACAATTTGAATGTCATTATTGCACGCAATTTAATACAATATTCTTAGTGCCTTATATATGTATATTCTTACTAATTATGTACTGTTTTATATAATTTGGTTATTTAAAACAACATTCTTAGTTTGCCAACCAAATAAAAGGAGAGTTGAGTATGTGATTTTGAAATATAAGTGAAGTACACTTACTTTACTCTAGCAGATAAAAAATTGACAACATGTCCATAAACTTTTTCACATGCCCATTCCATTTCCTTTCCACGCCAATTTTCAACCATGTGATCACACTTCAGCTTCCTAAAACAAAATAAATCTCAACCAAACACCCCTACCTATAAGAGTCACTTCCTCTCCATCCATTAATACCATACCACCTCATCTCGTTGGTTTGCATTATTGTTTAACCAATTAATTAAATAATCAATTGAGTTTACCCTTTTAAAAAACATAATTTACTTTGTGATGATATTATTGTTGAAATATTAGATTTAATATTTAAATATAATTTATGTTGAGTAAGTTCAAATTTAATTATGATCGTATATAAATAGTCATGGTTTATATTATTATTTGTACAATTCAAGTTAAATTGGTATTTACAGTTCCGGTTAGATTCTTGATCGTGTTTTCAAGAATCACACGTCAGAGATCGTATTTTTGAGATCGTGAATTATTGTCAATCAATCGCTACGAAGATGAATGATAACAATAGCATTCTGAATTCCCTTCTAACTCTTGACGGCAAGAATTGGTTTTGATGGAGAAAACAGATGCAAACTCTATTTGGCTTTCATGAAACTCTAGATATAGTTACTAACAACGCTATTGTGTTGGCTCCTATTGCATCCCAAAATTTACTCTTTTCTTTTCAATTGTAATTGGCATGTGTTTCACTAACATATGCAATCATACATATCATTGGTTATATGGTTATAGGATCAAGGTATCTCTCTTTTGGTCTTCTTCAAGCACTAGAAGAGAAAGATTTGACAATCAATGCAAGGAGGGTGAGATATCCTCAATTTCATGATTACTCAAGCTACAAAGGCTTATCATGCCTCGAAACATCTCAATATGTCCACCAATTCGTCAAATTATTGAATATTGCAAGAGATTTGACTTGATCAACATTCTCCTATCTTTTGATTCTTGAGCTAGGGTTTTGATTATATGAGTGTATGACACATTTATGGGCAAGAATTTTGAAGCATCATCATCATCACATTGTGCAAGGCATCTTTATTCAAGAGATTCTCAAGCTTACTCAGAAGAGCTAAGGTTTTGAGCATTGAACATCATCTCTTATCATTTTCAGCTGAAATTATGGTTTGTGATAAAATCACTTTATTTTTTATTCCTTGAGAAAAACTTGATTCCATGGCCTTCTACATGTCACTAAGTGTCTATGTGTGAAATATTGGTCATCAATTTTAATCAGAAGAAGTTCAATTGATTAGATGATGAATGAATTGACTGAATTAGGGAAAAGTCAAATGTGCATCCAAAAAGTCAACCCTGACTTTTTATGGTCAAAATTGTGTTCTACAAGTCAAACAGGATTCATGGTTGAGATTTGATTAAGAAAAATTAGGAGAATCATCAAAAATCAAGAATTGTGAAAATTTTCCTAATTTAGAAAGTTAGGGTTTATGAGAAGTTTCCATTTTTAGTAAGTTTGCATGCAATGATCTGTTATCTTCATGGTCAATTTTCACTGTGATCAAAGCTTCAAGTCAAAACAACCTCAATATGAAAGTTGTTCTCCCCATTGCAAGCTTTCACCTTATTCAAATCTCATTACAATTGGTCCAATAAATCTCAAGTTTTCATTGATCAAAATCTAGAAAAATCATTGAAGCAATTGACAAATATTTTCACATGTTCAATCAGGTTCAAGGGTCCAACTTCCATGGCCAATTTCATGACTTTCCAAGAATTTTCTCAACTTCTCATCAACACCAAAATTGTTCATCTTTTTACGCTTTTTCTTTTGAGCACAAGATTGCATCAAATGATTCAAAGATCATTGAGTTATGGCAATAAAAAGAGGTTACAAAACCACAGACTCACCCTTTGGCATTATTATTGTTTTTGAGTTTTATCCAATTAAGGGTCATTCTTTTGGCACAAGGTGCCAGGTTCACACGCATACACCTCATTTCCATTAACTAAAATGGCCAAACAATGGGCATAATGTGCATGCATCATATTTTCAAAATTTACCAAAATTGTTGAAATGGTACAACTTGCTCATCTCTCTCTCTCTCTCTCTCACGTGCTCCATTTACACTCTTTTCATGACTCATTTGTGCACCAAAATGACAACGACAATGTTGCATTACATGAACAAAATGCAAATGACACATTTCGCTCTCATTTTTTGGTTTTCCCACTCAATCTCACTCCAAAAAACTTTCAGCTTTGAATTACCTTGCCACCCTCATCAAAATACCCTATTTAACACCCTCCTCACTTCATTACTCACACAGACGCAAGAGAAAGAAATAAAAGAAGATATGAGTATTTTCTTCCAAGCAAGTTTTCTTCATCTCTCTCTAATCTCTCAAGCTTTTCGCCTTACTGCTCATTTCTCATTTTCTGAAGTTGATAACACAAGGTTGGTAGGGTTTCTGAAGATCTGAAGCTAGCAAAAAGCAATGGACTTACTCCACTAGGTAAACTCTCTCTTTCCATAATTCTCTCATAAATAGCTTGAAATAGCATGTTAAGATCGTCATGCATTGCATATGGAGATTGAAATGATGGCATTTATTTGGTTATATGGATCTGTGTTTGTTTACAAATTTGTGAAATATTTGAATTCAATTGAGTCTGTGACTTCCATGCCTATTTTTTGCGTGTTTTATTTATCATTTTAAGTTTTGTTTGGTTTAGTTGTGTTACCTATTCTTCATACTTCATTTTTGTTTCTTGAATTTTTCAAATCCATGGATTATGGAGTGAGATAATGGATTGTGAGTTTGCTGAAAAACATGATGTGCTAGGGTTTGTTCATCGTATTTCTCTGGTTTTGTTTCATGTTGTTTGAAGAAGATGATTGCATGGCATAACTGGATTGGCTGATGCATTTTTGTTTGTTTGTGACTTAAAATTGAATGTGACTGATTGATATTGTTTACATGTTATTTTGTTTTATGCAAGCATGACATTAAATATATATTTGATTAGAAAAACAAAATAAGTGTTGGTTAGTGGTGTGTGTTAAATTGTAATTCATATGTGTCAAAAGAAGATTTGATTTGTTTAGATTTAAATAGATTTGAATTTAAATCTAGATTAGATTTTATTTAGTAAAGAGATATTTTGGGCTTGGGTTTAGCTTAGGGAGCAAGCTAACCTAAATCTATAAATAGAGGGAGTAACCCCTATTTTGTAATCAAGTCATTCACAGTATTTTGCAGTTGCAAAGTGAATTGAATAAAGATTCCACAGTTTGTGGGCAGAAGAGAAATTCTGCAGAAATATTTCTAGTGTTCTTTTATTTGTTTGTCATAACTAATCATCAGTGGTGGTCGAAATTCATCATAGTGTATTGGTGGATTTCCAACATCTGGTATCAAGAGCTTGTGTTACGATTCAAGGGAAGTATCAATCAAGAACGATTGAAGAATTCACGATGACAAGTTATGGGAATGCAAACTATCCAGCAACGCTGCCAATTCTGAAAGTTGACAACTATGAGAATTGGTGCAAGCAGATGAAAGTCCTATTAAGGTGTCAAGGTCTTTGGGACCTTGTAAAAGATGGAGTCGAAGCGCTTGGCGAAAACGCTTCAGAAGAAGAAAAGAAGAAATATACAGAATCTGAGAAGCCGAGTTATAAAGCATTATTTATAATTCATCAATGTGTCATCCCAGACAATTTCGAAAAGATTAGTGATTCAGAATCTGCAAAAGAAGCTTGGGAGATCCTTGAGAAGTCTTTTGGAGGCGCTGAGAAGGTGAAAGAAGTGAGGTTACAAACTCACAAAAGGACCTATGAACTGCTTCAGATTGAAGACAGTGAAAACATATCTGATTTCTTCACTAGAGTTACAAAACTAGTGAATCAAATCAAGACATGTGGAGAAACATTAACAACAAGAGCTGTTGTTTCGAAGATCTTGAGATCTTTAGCTCCTAAGTTCGACCATATAGTGGTGGCGATCGAAGAGGGGAAAGACTTGTCGAAATTGACAAAGGAAGGGATTCAAGGGACGCTCAAATCTCATGAACAAAGAATGAACGAAAGAGCTGTAGGAAAATCGAAGAGTGATGTGGCCTTGCAGGCACATTCAACAAAAGAGACCAAAGGCAAAGGAAAGTATTTCGACAGAAGTAGAGGTGGCTACAACAAATCGAATGGTAGAGGAAACCAAATCGAATGAGACATGTCGAATCAAAGAAGACCACACCAAGGCAACCAAAGAGGTGGTGCTGCAAACAGAGGAAGAGGTGGTGGTCGAAAACCTGATAAAAGTCACATTCAATGTTACAATTGTCAGAAATATGGACACTATTCGAGTGATTGTCCAGAAAAACGAAAGAATCAAGAAAGTGATGCAAAGCTTGCAAAACATGAAGAAGAAGAAGAGATGATGTTGATGGTTACAACAAAAGATGAAGATAGATTCAAGGACCAATGGTACTTGGATTCAGGATGTTCATCACATATGTCTGGAAGGAAAGACTGTTTCGTCAATATAAAACCCTCAACGAAAAATATGGTAAAATTTGCAAATGACAACACCCTAGCAGCTGAAGGTATTGGTGATGTTATGATCATGAGGAAAGATGGAAAGAAGTCAGTAATTTCGAATGTATTGTACATACCAGGCATGAAGAGCAATTTGCTCAGTATAGGGCAGTTGGTCGAAAAGAATTATAAAGTGTCAATCAAAGATAAGTTGATGAGCGTTGTTGATGCAAATGGGAAAGTAATCTTGAAGGCTCCTATGTCTCAGAATCGAACCTTCAAGATTGAACTTAATGTGATGGAGCACAAGTGCCTTTCATCTGCAGCTAGCAGAGATGAATGGATATGGCATTATAGACTTGGTCATCTCAACTTCAGAGACATCAGAGATTTGAAGAGAAGAAATATGGTTTCAGGATTGCCTGAAATTGACATTCCAAACGAAGTATGTGAAGAATGTGTGCAGGCGAAGAAACACAAGAATAGCTTCAGCAAGGATGCAGGAAGCAGATCGAAGTCTAGTCTCGAAGTCATATACTCTGATGTATGTGGACCAATCCAGGTGGATTCGATGGGAGGTAAC